GCCTGGGGTGGGAGCCTCCTGTGGTCAGGACCTCACTCTCCACCGATGGAGTCCTCACAGTAGGTACAGCTGACGTGAAACAGGTACTTGGGGATCAGGGAGGCTGCTCCCCAGTGCCGGGCCACTGCTGGAGTCACCAGCTGGAGCCCGGCAAGAGCCCCCCCCCCAACCCTGAGTCTCACCATCCAAGGTTTCCACATGGATACGGAGTCCCAGATCCTTGTTACGGCTCAACAACCAGCAGTCACTGGCTGCTGTGACATCCAGCACCAGCCAGCCCTCGTCGCCTGCTCTGAGGGTCTGAAGATCCAAAAAGAATAAGTCAGACTCCCTGTGGACATGAAAGAACAATTAACCTCAGGTGGAGGGCCAGCCCTGCTGCCTCAGGGGAACTGCTGGAGCAGCTACCCTGCGCTGGCCTGGGCTGGGCTCCTTCTCTGCAGTATATCACTCGTACTCCACCCCAAACCATGTTTCTGTGCCTGTGTGCAGGTGGGGACACTGAGGCACAGTGGCTCAGGGACCCGTCAAAAGCCCCACAGCTGGGAGGCAGGGCACAGCCATTCAGGCCTAGCATGTTTCCCACCTCTGAGCCTGTTCTCCCAGGCAGCTCCCCTTTCCTCCTCTGGGAAATGTCCCTCACCCCTCCCAGGACTGGGCAGGATATGATGCCTGAGCCTTGCCCATGGGACAGGGAGGACAGGCCTGGGCTGTGTGCAGGCAAGCACCTGTTGGAATGCTCCTGGACCACCTCGAACACGCTGATGTGGAGAGTTGTGTTGAACCGGTGGGTGCTGGGCACCTTATAAATCTGGAACTCGGCAGCTGTGACTGCCTCCCCGGCCAGAATCTGCATCAGATCAAAGTGGAATTCCTTTCAGTGGGGATCATGGTGGCCCAGGGCCTGGTCACACTCCACAGAAAGACAAAGCAGGGGACAGGGGGCTAAGAGCAGCTGGGATGGCTTGGGCTCGGAACAGGACCCATGGACACAGTGGTGAGGGCTGAGGGCACCCCACAGGTGGGGCTGACCTCTCTATCTGGGCAAAGGCCACCCTCTGAAATAAATCCACATTTGCCCAGTTGCATGGCATACAGGAAAAACAAGTGATTAGAAGAATTATGTCTCCTTGGCTTAAGTAGTATGATCAGCAAAAACAATAGCATCAAAATGTAACCTAAAGGGCCGGGGAAATAGCTCAGTGGCTTAAGTACCTGCCTGACGAGTGCAAGGTCCTCAGTCTGATCCCTGGTACCACAAAACAAAACAAAATGAAACAAAACAAAACTAGAAAATGACAAATTATGGTAACTTATGAACTGTATTTGTGGATATATAATGAAATCTCAAATGAACCAGAAAATTATATACAGTAAATATGCCCTCAGTTTGGCAATTCCACCCTCAGAGCCAATTTAAAGGAGGATGGGGGAAAGTAGAGAAATAAGAGGAAAAGGAAAGGCAGGAGGACAAAGGAGGATTATGAAAACTTTGATAAACTGGTGAAGAAGATTGGAGGGCAAGAGAAAAGGGATGGGGCCAGGGAGATGGCTCAGTAGGATAAGTGCTTGACTGGCAAACGCAAGGATCTGAGTTCAATCCCCGGTTCTGCCAGAAAAAAGAAAAAGAGAAAAGGGAGAAGTAAAAACAAAACAGAACAACAACAAAAATATTAGAACAAGACCAAATAGAAACAAAACAAGGGGCCTGGAAGATAGATCAGTAGAATAAGCACTTCCCTGGCAAGTGCAAGGGCCTGAGTTTAATCCCTGGTTCTGCAAAAAAGAAAAAGAAAGAAAGAAAACAAAAACAAGGAAAGAAAAAAAAATTCACTTCAGATTATGTGTCTCCAGTTACTGGTGCCAGCCCCACTGCCCCCCACCCAAAAAAAATTAAAAAAAAAATCCTTCTCCAATTACTGGTAAGCAATGTAGGCAGACAGAGTCCAGATCAGTGTTAATCCCAGCAAGCCAGCTATAGCTTTAGAGCAGGGTAAAGCAGAATCCCAGCAAGCCTGTATTCTCAGTTCCACTGAAGTTCAGGGTAGTTTCTGGCTGTGAGGCTGGAACCCAGTTCATTCAGCCTGTGACACTCCTGTCTTCCTGCTGGCTTGAACGTGGCTCCTTGACATCCTGCCAACTTGAATCGCCTCACCCTATCCCAGGGAGCCGATAGATGGAGCCAGCGGGCATCTCCTCTGAGTTCTGAGCTTAACTGGCCCCTCTCCAAGATGACTACCAGCCAACTGCCCTCTCCTGGGTAGCATCTGAGCCTGAATAACTCACCAACCACTGCAGTGCTGTGTCTACTGCTCTGTTCTACTGGTTAGTTTCTCCGTGGAGGTCTCTGGGGTTGCCCTGTGTCTGCACGTTCCAGCTGCCCTCCCCCAGTCAGGCTCAGGGAGAAGGTGTTGCAGGGCACCTCCTTCTTAAGTCTCTTTCTTGGCTCTCCCTGTGGGCTTTAATTCTCACTTCAGATCCTTGCTAGGTCCTGGGAACCTACTTCCCTCCTTCTCTTCCTCACATTGCCGTATTCCAATGTCTGGACACCAAATCTCAGAAAGGCTTTTTCTCTGGTGTCCCCCACTCTGCCATCTTCTGGCAGTCTGATAGTGAACATCCACAGAATTGGATATGGAAGAGCACAGAGGGTCTGAGCGCACACTGAGGAGTCCAGTGAAGATCTGGAACTCACTGCAGTGTCCCCTGAGAGTCTGTGTCAGGAGGCCAAGGGGGCTGTGCTGGAAGCCAGGAGATGCAACCAAGGTGAATCCAGAGACTGGAGCTGCTCTACAGAGAGAGAAGCCCCCAGCTGCACAGAAACCCCAGGGCATATATTGAAGGCAGTCTCCCTTTTAGCTTCTTGTCACTTTCAAAAGCCAAAATTTTGTGTTTCTGGAAAGCAGTGGTGGGAGCCACCCAAGCGTCTTCTCCACAACGCAATCCTGAGATTTTAATTATGTGTGTGGGTCTTTTAAAAAACCCTCTCTGACTCAGTGACCACAAGTCAAGTTTAGAAAAGCACCAGATTGTGCAGCCGGGCGGATGTGGGGAGGACTTCCTGTCCTCATGGTGAGGACCTGGCCCAGGGATGGACAGGCACGCAGCTGGGCTGGGCAGGACAGGGATGGGGACATTTGGGCAGGAGCAGCTGGGAGCTCCATCCCTGAGTGAGGGAGGAGAAGAAATGGCATGTGCAGGGTCTTCAGCACAGTAGGATACCGAGGCCCCCAATGCCTGCTCTCGAGCACCGGGGTGCTTCAGAGGCAGTGACAGTATCAGGGGTAGGGGCAGACAAGGAGAATAAAGTCAGGGTTCTAGATATTTGCTGAACAATTCTTCTACTATGAGGATCTACGTTGGTGTGTCCTACCCCTACAGATATTCACAGATGACCATAGGTGACAATTTCGGTCAATGCAGGAACCTGCTGCATGGCTGGCTGTGTGAGATTCTCAAATGTGCAAGAAAAAACTGATCTTGTATATTGATTAGCACATTATGTGAGACAGACAAATGGGGGTCCCTCAGGCATCCCCTCTCCCAACCTCTTTCAAAGAATCTTTATGTGTCTCTACACACAGGGGAAAGTGCTACCGACGAGTGCATCCCAGGGCTCTGTGTGAGACCTAGAGACTGAAGGAGCAGCCCACAGAACTGCTGGCTGTGGGCGGCCCCAGACCTGTGGCTGCCTCCAGACACAACCTGCAAACCCTGTCCCCTTCTCTCGCAAGATTCTTAGGCAGCTGAATTGCTCCTACTTCCAAGCTTCCTGTGTCATGAATTTGTGAAATCAATCAACCACCCAGGGAACTCTGGCCCAGGAGAGTGCCCAACCTGGCTGTTCTAAGCAAGTGCGAGAGGCTGGGAGGTTTTTAGGAAAACAGTGATTTCCATCAGAGTTGGTAGAACTTCCTGGGGTGCAGAACTGAATCAGACATTACTGAACAGGCCAAGATTGCCTCCCTTTCTTTGCTGACCAATGTGGACCCACAGCTGCTCAGTGACTGCTCCTTGGTTCTGGAGGGCCAGTGTTGTGAACACGCGCTTGTTGGGACCTGTGGTCTTCCCCCAGAGTGGGTCTGGGCAGGCTGACTCTGCTTCAACCTCTAGGATTGCTCATCTGGCCAGCAGCTGGTTGTCTGGATTCACCAGCCCTCAGATGCTTCCCCTGTGTAACCTCAGTTTGCCTGTCTGTGAAAGGGCAAGAACTTGGGGTGGGAGTGGTAGTCATTCCTCAGGAGGTAGAGGAGGTGCTGAGCTCCAATTTTCTAATTTATTTTACATGTTAAGCAGCGCCATCAGAGCCGGAAACTCAAAAGCAATGGATGGGGGAGGGGTAAAAGGTTATATTCAATTTTTTTTTTTCTTAGAGGCTTTGGGCCTGGGGAGATGGCTCAGTAGAATAAGCGCTTCCCTGGCAAGCACAAGGGTCTGAGATCAATCCCCTGTTCCACAAAAAAAAAAAAAAAAAAAAAAAAAAGGCTTAAAAGGATTTATTAGGCAAAAATTTAAATGTACATACTCAAAGAAATACAGTATGGGCTCTCCAATCAACTCTGTTTTCTGAAATCAAAGTGTGGAATGAAAACCTTTATCATGAAAATGTACCAGCTTAATGGAGAGGCATTGGGTGATTTGCAGGCTCCTCTGTCTTACCTCCTTGACCTTAATCTAGCACTTAGCCTTCTGGGCTTGGGGACCACACTTGCTACATGACCCTCATATCGGGCCAGAAGAGAGCTGGAAAGAGCTGGGTTGCTCCTGTCATCAGAATTTGATTTTGGTCCAGCAGATGCTGGTAACATGTTACCCAGGAGTATTCCTTTCTGGAGGTGCTTGCCCTACCTCCCCATATAAACAAAGTCCAGAATCACCCCAAAATGCCAGGACTCTGAGGCAGCCCTCGGCAACACCACTGGAAGTGTCTCCGGCTTCTGGCTCAGGCACCACCAGATATGCTTTGCATTGTTTGGGAGCAGGAAGGGAATTTCCATGACAGATCTAGCTATGTAGTCTATGTTGGCCTTGAACTTGCAGTCCTCCTGCCTCAGCCTCAGAAGTGCTGAAATATAGGTGTGTATCACCACGCCCAGACAGTACAAAATAGGCGCTAGAATACAGATCACAAAATGCTGCCTGTGCTTCCATGCTGCTGCTTTGGCTCGGAGCCCACAGAGGGAATTTATGGGAACCTTGGGTTTTCCCAGTAAAATTCTGCGGTGGGATCTGAGGTCAGGAAGTGCATCTCTGTGTCACTGGCAGACTAAGATAAGCTGGGGTGTGATGGGGGGAGACGCCCCCTGTGTGGCCACCATCCTGGATCCAGACCTGAGATCTGAAAGCTGAGATCCATCTTTTTCTTTTTTTGGGGGGGTGGGGTGGAACCTGGGATTGAACTCAGGCCCTTGTGCTTGCCAGGGAAACACTTATTCTACTGAGCCATCTCCCCGTCCCCTCTGAGATCCATCTTGCCAGAAATCCTTTTGCCCAAGGTGGCTCTGGGAGAGGTCCCTACCATCTGGAGCAGGTTTCTGAGAAGTCATTACTCTTTCCATTTTTTTTTTATTTTATTTTTTTATTTTTA